TTTATACCGCTCCGACGCCGATCAAACCATTTAACCCCTGATCCATGACCTTGGTCGAGTCGACATCCGGTCTAAGTTTTAGAACACTGGTTAGGGCACCACAACCACCCTTGTCCAAAGAAAAAAAATATTAATGAAACCTCCATTAACCGCCAATAACTTCTTAAACACCAAAACATGAATTTTTTATTTAATGATCCTTCCCACAAGTAGAATGACGTCTTAAATGCTTAAGAATTCTTAAACATGGTAATCTTATCCACATCAGCGGGTGTTCAAACCCAGATTCTAAAATAGGCATATACTAAATTACTTCAACATTCTAAAATAGATATTCAAAACCTCTACAATCTTTCATACCTATTGCAGCATTAGATATTGTTTCTAACACAACACGGTGCACCCTAAATAGCTAATATTAATGGTAAGACAACCACGAACAAAAACGCTCCAAATTCATTCATTCATTAAAAGTCGTCTCCTACAATCAGTGCCAACTTTCTAATTTTAAATTCACCTAATTTGAATCATCAATTATACTTATATGGTGCAAGTGTTCTCACAAGTCACAACTACATAGATTCACAATTGCATAGATTCCTTTACCCTTTAACATAGTGAGTAGACATGTTAATGGGTAGGATATCCAGACCCATTTTAATTTAGTTAAATTCAGATCTAGATCCAGGCCCTTTTGGATTTGAAAAAAATCTATACCTAAACCCTTGTAGATCTAAATATCCAATGGACATTCATGGATATTTTCTGAACATATTAAGTTAAAAATATAAAGAGTACATAAATAATATAAATACCATCTAATTTTTGTTTTTAAATAATAAAATTAAGATTCAACAAGTTGAATGCAATATTATGAATTCAAAGAAAGAATTACTATTGACTACTTCTATATAGTTTCAAAAATTCAATTGCATCCACATTTAATATTTCATTCATTTGCCTTTATGTGAGAACCCTAAATTTTCACCTTTTCTCCGTATTTATTTGGATGCTTATTTCTCTTATTTTTGTAAATGAAAAGAATTTGTTACCTATCACTAAGGAGGGTTTCATTTCATACATATGAACGTGCGTTTGGTTACATTAAGTGTTTTTGTGTGAAAGTATATATATATATATATGTGGGAAGTACGGACGAATGCGGCGTGTGAGTTTGGAAAAGAAAAATTTTGAAAACAAAGACAGGGGCTGAATCCGGCCTGGAATCCGGGAAGAAACTGGCCGGATAGCTGGCCGGATTGCCTTGCATTTTTGAAAAAAAAAACGTTTTAGCTTCTGCCTCATATCCGGCCAGGAATCCGGCCGGATATTCGGCTAGATTCTGGCCGGATTTTGATGGGACAGCAGCTTTGACCTGCGATTTTTCTTCCTTCTTATCTTGTTTTGGTCCAAAAATATCTTCATTTCTTCCTTGCTCAGCCGTGGCTTTTGAGAGAAAAGACCAAGCAAAGCTCTCTTTTCTTAACTTCAAATTTTGGCTTCAATCTTGAGATTTCACCATTTGATTTCTAATTCCTTCCATACAAGTGCTAGCTAGGAGGGGTTTAAGGGATTGGTGGAGTGAGTTTTGGAGTTGGAGCTCTAAGCTATCATTTCTCCTTAAGTTTCAAGGTAAACTATCTAGAAATTTACTTGTACTTCTTATGCTTGCAAAGTAGTGGATTAGAAATGTTACATGTGTAGTTTTGTAGCTAAGTTTATGGGTTTAAGTAGAGGTATAGCAAATTTCTGTTTTATAGGTAAAAATTTCTGTTTTATGATGATTAATGTTTGGGCATGATTTGGTATTTGATAAGAGTAATTTTGAGCTTGAGAATGTTGGTTTTACTTGTCTTCAAAGAATTTCAGCTTTTGTAGCAAAATTTCCAGTTTTAGGGTTTATATTTTGCTCCTTTATGTGGTTGCATTTGAAGGATATTGTGGTCTTAATTCAAGGTGTTTTATAGCTTGTTGTTTGTGGGAAAGATTGTGGTGAATTGAGGAGTGATTTGGTATTGAGGTTTGGTTGGAAAAGTAAGGAAAAACTAAGGGAAGTGCTGTCAAAATTTTCGTAAGAGCTCCTGCGCAGTCTTAGGAAAATTGCTATATCTTATGTAGGAATATCAGAATTGAGTTCCGTTTGTTGCGTTTTAAACTAGACTCATAGGGCTATAAACCGTGTAAGTTTCAGACCCTGTTTCTATCTGTGCAATTTATGGCATTTTTTCAAAGTTAACTGAAAATTGTGACCTGTTCTGTCTTGTGATGGTTAAAGCAGTACATTGCGACTTAAATTTGACCGACTTGCGTTCTGAATCTTAAGATGGTGTTTTCTGGAAAGTTATAACCCTTTGAAGTAGTTTCCAACGGTGTAAATTTTATCAATTTTGGACTTACAAAACTTGAGATACAATTTTTTCTTAGAGGGATATGCAAAACTGAAAAATCCTGTTTTCCGAGTAATGATTGTACATTCATTTTCTACTTCAACTTTGGAGTTGGTTACTTATGATAGATAGAGTATTGAGGTTGTTCATGCCTTTAAGACCGATTGTTACTCCTTTTCATTCCGAAGTCGCATTGCCTTTGCATTAATGGTTCATGTGGTTACGCACAGGACTTGTAACCGAGTTACTTGCAAATTTCTTTGATTCCAATTGTAATGTCAAGTCGTAAGTGTTTGCCTTGCTTGTTCTAGGAGGTGCCAGCGAGTAAAATCACACTTGGCAAGGAAACTTTTGAAACTATTCTTGTTTGATCTGGTGAGTGTACCACCCCTTGTATTGTTGCTACTTGAGCTATCTGTACGTGAAATCTATGACATAAATGACTGTGAATCCTGTTTAGTGTGATTGAGACGAGGGTGTACTTTATCACACTCGTACTCTTGCCTGTGTGGTATAAACTGCAATCTATCACTTGTACATGTTATGAACTTGAACCTGTTACCTGCACTTGTTATAATGTCGTTTGGATGCGTCCAACGGCTTCCTTATTAAACCTGAGCTCAACCTCATGGGGAGTTAATTAAATCGAGCCATGCAAGGGCTTGGTCGAGGAAATTGACAATCCGTGGGTGCCTGCTTTATGGAATTCTTGAGTATTGAGACTCTTGAATCCCGGTATACTCGAGTATTACCATTCCTGTTTCTATTCGGCGTTCGGGCCCGGTAAGGGGTATGAATGGTGGACGGGATTTGGCGTTAAAGTGGTGTTCTACTGGACGGGTTTTCTTATTCGAAAGTTGACGGAGGGTCAACGTAGTCGGATCAAGTACAGCAACGGGAAATTGGCTCCTGAGAGCCATCTGTATCCTTTCTGTCTGGATTGTTTTACTTATTTTCCTGTTGGGTACATGTATGTGATTACTTGAGCATGGAATTACTTAGTCCTTGACTGTATCTCTTTATTTTGGTACCTCATTGGGCTTATAGCTCACCCCGTTTTGTTATCCTTGTTTTCCTTACAGGAAAATCTTTTGGAAGCATGAGTTGAGCTGGTTATATATATGCTTTTGTATAACTCCTCAATAGATGGAAACCTTGAATGTATTTTGATCAAACAACTCCCTTTTGATTTGTAACATTGTGATCATGTATATATCTAAAAGTGTTTGCTTATGTAAACGTGTTACCCCTCTCCAACGTGTTCATTCGTTATGGTTGCCTGGAGTTATTGAAACTACGGAGGTTTCGGACGAGTATACTCAAGCGTGAAAAGGTAGAGAAAGAAATTGTGGCAGGGACTTTCAACCTTATAGCTTGGTGGTTTCCGTATTGTTCGTTTCCTTTGGTTTCTGTCACGCGTACTTAGAGCGGTGAGTGTAGTGATCGACTGAGTCCCGGCGAGAGTTGGGCAGGCGATCCGCCGAACCCCTGGTTCGCCTTAGGGGAGGTGGGCCGTTACACTTTACCTTTTCTTCTTTTCTTTGAGAAGTTTGTACCAATTACAATGATAACTAGGATTAGTTTTTGAAAAAGAAAACAACCATAACATATATAAAATATCAGCCTTACTAAAAAAATATAATTTTGTACCTCTTTTCCTTATTTAAATCTCCATGTTAGTAGATGTCTTGCAATCCAGCACTAAAAAGTAAATGAGATAAAAGTCATTTGACTAAGGACCGTTGGCAAATAAATAATAGAATAAGAAGATTTATAAACATTTACTCATTTTTTTATTCAATCTAATCATCAGTAGTCACTAATGTTTCAATCACATCTAGAAGTTATTTACTACAAGTCTCATCAATCATTTCAACCATCAACATTAAATACAGATTCTGATACTATGAAACCTTACTGTATATTCGATCTAATAGTTATAAAATATTAGATTATTTTATAAATTTGCCAATAAATATGTATATGTTATTTAATTAAATATTAGGATCTGAGTAAGATCTGTATGGATTTGGATTTACATGTGGATTCTAAAAAATTAGACACTATCCATACCCATGACTCTCTCATAGGGTTTGGGTCTAGGTAGGGTTTAAATTTGAGAAATTAAATCCAAACCCAACCCAAATATATTGAGTTTGGTTGAATTTGGGTAAGAATCCAACCCATTGACATGCCTAATAGTGAGTATTGGATATCCTTTTTTTTTTCTTCTCCAATTTTTTTTGCTAAATAGGAGGTTTTGAATTTAGTATCTTATACTTACAATTATTTCATTTTACCATCCAACCAACTCTTCATCCTTTCCTACTCCAATTTAAGGAAATATGCATTCGATATTTTTTTATTTCCCTCTCATATCATATTTCAATAAAGAAAGAATGGAAATGTTATATTTTACCTTCCTTTATTCTCCACTAATTCCTATCTCTCTTTTTCTTGTTTTATTTAAGTGAGTCCTCAAATTTTACATCGAGTAAATTGAAGATGAAATAATTAATTACGGACGTCCTTGCCACCTAGGTAATATCTTACCGGCTAAGTTGGGTTCTAGCGGACAATCACGATGACGCCCAAGTCCAACTAGTATTCTATTACCAAGCACCCCACTACTCCCTTAACTTTCCGCGTCCCTTCGCCCAACTCCATATGCTTCAGAAGGTTCCCCAGAACACATTTGCATATAGAGTCTCTACTCTCTTACGCTCCCTTGTCCATCTCGTATGGATGCTACAGCTCCCACAAGTACTTATTCTGCTACGACTGCTTCTAACTCCGGAAATCGTCCTCAATCATCAACCCCAGTTCGCTACTTCCGTTGCTCTTGCTTCAGGCGCTGCTGTCGCTGCTTCTGCTGCTTCTACTCCTTCCCTTAATCACAAATCAATTGAGAAAACTCTGATTCTTGATCTTTCTGCCTTTAAGGTTTGTCTGGGACATGTTTTAAGATACTTGAATTTCGATATTCTTCTTGTTAATTCTATAATTTGTGATTGATCCTTGATGAATCATGAGCTAGATTATTCATGTATGTCATAAGCAGTCTCTCTATTTGGTAATTCAGTACATAATTGTTAACATGCTTGTATCTTCACTTGGATCAAGCTGTTCGTTTTGATCATCTCCAAACCCCCCCCCCCAAAAAAAACAACAAAAAAATATTACTTTGGCATCATTTATTATTTAAACGTTTCTATAACATGATCTGCTTCAATTAAAATTGATAGATTGGCATAACTGGGGCCTTTGAATTTTCTTGAGGCTAATATCATTTGATTTACCATGCCAAGATGTGGGGTCGTAAGTGTAGAAGATACATAGGTAGCCTATTGCAATTAGTCTTTAAGTTTTTTTTTTTAATTGGAGTTTGTGAATATTTATCTAGTAATTGTACATGCCAAGACAATCAAATTCTTGAAATCAAGTGTCTTGATGACAAGTATAGTAGGATTTATGAATGTAAGAAAGTTTGGACTTTAGCTTCTTCAACAATGTGTCTTTTGAACAGGTTCTAAAGTACCTTTCATCATTCTTAGAGCATGATTTTGGCTTAGAATGGATATATTGCTAGTTTTGTAATGCTTTCTTGTTTGCATATTATTCTGGGCCACCGATCTTCTGTCATTGACTTCATTGAAGTCTTCGTCTTGTAATTCTTGGTGGCTTAGGGAAGCTTAAGTTGTATACTCTGTTCAATTTGGTTGAATTTTGGAACTATTTTCATATGAAGACTGCTATGGTTTAGTTCAATTCAATATGTTTGTCATTCAATTCTGGTAGGCAAACTTAGTATTTAAGTGTATAGTATTGTGTGGTGTTTTAGGACCTTTCTTTGGTGCAAAACCATTGTACCATTTGGATTTTATTCCTTGGTCATTAGGGCTTTTAAATTTGCACCATCATTCTATTTTATGCTGCTGAATTGCCAAGTTCCATAGGTTTCCTGGACCAAGTAGGCTTTTTATGTATGGTGATATTTTGTGATAGGGTGCATGACTTGGGTGGAGGTTTGGAGAGAAAGAAATACTACTGCATGATTAAAGTGTAGTTTTTAAGGCCCAGAACAACCTTGATTATGGGCTAAACAAGAACAAAACCTTGAAGTTCTATCAGAGAGCTCAAAGAAAGGCAATTTGATTTAATTACAACACAGCTGAACATGAGAATTTATGCAAGTCCTTCCTTCAGTAGAATCCTAATCTAATTATTGATTTTGTGCTTCTTATCCTTACTACTAAATTTATCATAAATTCCTTGTCTCTCAATTCTTATTCTTCTAACTTATGGCTACTGGACTTGTACCTGTTGTCATATGTATTAGAATTACCTTCATCAGTTCTCCTAGGGTTGGAGATAAACTGTCTTAAATCTTATATTTTTATCCACTATCAGAAGGATGCCCAAACAAGCCTTCCCCATACCTTCTTCTTTTGCCACTTACATTTGTAAGCATCTAAAACTGAGTATTTTTCAGCTTCTCCAAATTGTGAAAAACTTATATCCTGGCAAACAAATTTCAGAACTAATTCTTGTTCTTCTTTGGTTGACCTTATCATAAGAGGCGTTACATATCCACTATTTCTTTTTTTTAGTATGCAGTACTTTGAGGTCTGGTGAATAACAAAATGATGTTACTCAATATAAGTAGATGAGTATGTTAAAATGAGCTAGGTTAGAGTATAAAATCACTGTGCTTCCTATCATGTTTCCCATCAACAATTAAGGATCTTGACCCCCTCCCTAGACTGTTGAGACAAAGGTCAGAAGGGTGGCTTGGGTCCTTATGAATCCATGCAGTAGAAAGTCAACTCTTCAGGAAAGCAGGTAGTAACACAAGTCTTTGAAATTATTTTAGGAGGTGGCCTCTTATCTGTGCCATGGGAAAGCCATTTATGTTTAGCTTGATAAGCAGAAAATACAATTCTCAGTATTCACAAGATAAATTTTGTACCCAAGTGAAGAGCAAAATCTTTTATTCTGTCTGGGAAAAGTGCAATCATAGTCTTTTCTGTCCCATTGTGCTGAACTCCTTTTACAAATAAGGGACAATCCAAACTGGATGCAAGCCCCTATTTGTAAGAATAAACTCCATATGAGAAGAGGAACTTGTATTTTTTTTTTTTAATTCTTAATTGACTTCACTTCATTATGAAAGAAGACAGGAGAGGCCTCGTAAGACAATGATAATATTCTGAAGTAGTTTTGATCTGCACTCTTACATTGTTTCACGAGCATACTTTACATACAGATGGATTTGTACAATGAATAATACTTCTGGATCGCACATATACCAAAGATTCAAATAAAGCTATCTTCTAAAGTTGAGAGCTATGATGTATTGATTGTGTAAAAGTTATACCAGACAGAAGTTATGCTGAGCAATGACAATTTTTTAATTAACTGTAATTCAAGGTCACTTATGCATCTACTTGTCTATTTATATCATTATATGTTTATTGGGGCAAACTTCTCTGGTCCTCTTAACAACCTCCCAACCTGGAAAATATGTGTGTGTGTGTGTGTGTGTGTGTGAAGCATAAAATACCTCACCTGTTCTGATGTGTCCTTATCATTGGTGTTCTTGCTTATTAAAATTGCTGTCCGGGCAAAGGAAATGATGGAGTAACTCTCTGTGATGCTTTGTGGTTGTTAATATTTCAAGTCTTAAGGAAGTAAACTGGCATCAGTAATTTATCTGTGACTCTGTCCTACACAATATATTATTTTGCTGACTTTGTCCGTCTTATACTTATGAATCATCGCTGTGGTTGTTTGCATGCAAGTTACAGGATTTACTTCACTTTCCTGTTGTCTTTTCTGCTTAAAGAGAGGCGATGACGTACAATATATAGAGCTATACATAAGCTTGGTTGTCTCCAGACAAACATGATAGTGACAGGTTCTGGGGGCAATCTTATCTACCAAATGGTCAAATAATTTATGTATCAAAAACTAGAAAACCCAGGTCAAGCCCATTTCTGGTATTCATTTTGGGATCTGCTTTTCTGGAGGCTTGCTAGACTTGTTTCTATTTTGCTATTGTTGCTTGATGAACAAAATGAAAAATTCTTCTTGTTTGTTTTTCTCTAGTAAATGTAAACCAACTTGACTTTCCCTCTTTTGGATTGTTGTTTGCTATTAGCAGCTTTGGTGCTGAAATTGCTGGGAGTTGGTTTCACTAGTTAAGCCACACTTCGGAGAGGAAGAATAGTTCTTATTCAAAGTTCTAGTTTTTGATATACTGTATTGATGCTCATCTAATTGCTCATATAGCATTTGAATTATGTTGATAAGTGGCACATTGAATTCCAGTGATGCCTTGAGGATGGTAAAATGCTGATTTTGCACCACTTTTGCATAATCAGTACCAGAGAAGCTCACTACGCTGCAAGTATGCGAGGCGTCTGCATCAAGACTACATAGATGGCGTAAAAATTTATCTAAGCAGCAGGATTGGCAGTCTTATGTGTTTCTCTTCCATTAGACATCTAAAAATGTAGTTTAAAAACCATATATAACATGTAATCTTGCTTTTTGTGGATCAGAGATTACTACCATTGTAAAGGTTACCTGCTTAGTTTCCTTCTATGCATCATGTATGAAGTTGTCAGGCCCCACTTTAGGCATTTGGCCATGATTGAAATTGTCAACATGTTAGATGCATAGGATAGCAGCTATTAGTTTTCAAATTTGTCGTCCTTCAATTCACCATATAGTTGCTACAAGTTTTCTGTTACACCTACAAGTTGTAAACAAGTCTGCATATTCTCTAGAACACGATGAATACAATTACCAATGAGAATCTCCTTCTGGCAGCGGAAGAACTCGTCTTACAAAAAAAAGTTTCTGTCTATATCAGTCAGTAAACTTGCATAGCCGCTTTTGCAGGATCAGGGAGAAGTACTTTCAACAGTTCTTTTGCCCTTGCTATACTTGGAATTTACGGTTATTTGCCTTCTGATCTTGATGCGTGGCCTTTCAGGTATCTTGAGTTCAAATCTTTGTTGGTAAGAGCGCATATTGGAGATTGGGAGTATAAAATAGGCTAAATTAATCCTGCTTTAAACTGGTTATAGCAGGTATATTGTGTTTTTGTTTAGAAAGTTAAAATTTGTCATGGTCCAAGGACTTGGTTGGTGTTTTGTTGGACCATACTAAAAATGTTGCTAGACAACAAGCACCAAGCATGCTTTGCACTTCTTCGTCATTATCTTTCTTTGACTCTATTATTGTGCATTTCAACAGTAGCTTTCTTTAATTGATAAGCTTTGAATTAGGTAAATTTTTTTTGAGGGAGGCACAGCATGAATTTGCGGCAAGGGACAAAAAAGCATGAGATCTGGTCAGAAGGCTGGAGAAAGAGGCTAAACTATGATTTTATATCTCATTCCACACTACTCCAATTGACCTGAAATTTTACAAGCACCTTTGAAACATCAATACCTACAACTTTCATGTTTTAAACCAAGGCCAATTCGGCATCTAACCATGAGATACAAAACCAGACAGAATTGGGGATATAAAACCCTAACTTTCTCAAATTCCTTCCAAACCAGAAATTGGTTACAATTATCTATCATATACACCTACTAGAGTCATTAAACATCAGTTCCCATCATCAAGGATAGCCACAACATCAAATTCATATTAAACCAGAAAATTCATCAATAAATTGAAACTTCATCAATTCATCCAAAACCAAGAAATAAACCACATATTTCATCACTTTAGCTCCCATTAGGCACAAATTAAGCTTCATTAAGTGAAGGAGAAAGTTCAATCACCACTCACCTAGTAAACAAGAGAGGAAGAGTTGCTTGTCCTCTTAGCTTCCCAAAACACTTCACCAAACCACTTACTAACACCTAAAGAAGAGATTTTATGGAGTAGAATCAAGTCTAAGTGATTGCTTTGGATGATTTGCACTAGATGGATGCCAAACTTTGAAGAGTTTTTCTTCCTTCTTTGCTAGAGAGGGCCGGCCACAATGGTGAAGAAAAGAGTGAATTTTAGGTAATTTTTAAGATATTTAATCCAAGGGTAAAAAGTCAAAAAGGTGAATAGTTGTCAACAAGTCACAACCTCTCACAAAGTGACACTTGTCACTCATTTAAAACATCTCTATCCTTTTGGTTCCCTCTCACATCAATCACATCTCAACCTCTACTTATCTCTTAACACCCGATAAATTTCAACCACGTCCGTTATATATCCTTAATTTTTCAAAAACTACCAAATACTAGAAAAATCATCTAAAAATTATATCTGCTCATTAAAAATATCTAGAAAATTTTCCTACTAAAAAAAATGCAGAAAACAAACCATTAAATAAATAAAACCCTAGAAAATGGGAAAAGTACGGGTTCTCACAGAAAATGGAAGAAATTTAGCCAAAATGAAAGATAAGAAGGAAAGAATTTGCCTTGGTCAACTCTTTTTTGATTGCCAACACTTGGCACATCAAGATTCCTTTCTATTTTTTTTCTTTTCTTCCTTTTCTTTGGTCAAGAATTTTGGCTGGTTTAGAGTTTAATTTAGGGCTGATTAGATGAAATTAAAAAAAGAAGATTAGGGTAAGAAAGTATTGGTCAAACGGTGTACTCAACCGGTAACAAACGGCGCACGTCGGTTCAAACCTATTTTCCTTAACTTTCTTGTACTTGTGTTTTAACTTATGATTCACTAACTTATTATTAGCACTTCTAATCACACACTTCCTCTTACTTAATATGCGCTCTTATCCACCAAATTTAGTACACACACCTCACCAAGTGATCACACTACCAAAATACGCATAAACCTTAATTTACCCTAACTATAAAAGTAAAAGTAAAACTCTCAATTCTATTATATATTACAACTATTGAGGGAATAAAAATAGTAGTAAAAGAAATTATAAATTAACTTATTCAAAATAAGAGGTAATTATAAAAAAAATATAGGTGAATTTTCAATTCCTCACAACATGACTTCTAAGAATGCTCTTCATGATCTCAGATTTGTGGTGGGGCTATCTCTACCATATTGAAAGATTGGATTCAACCAAAAAGCAACCGTATGATGATCTTTTTTTAACATGTTTACTTTTTATTGTTTCTAAATAATTCTTTAATTCTGTTAACAACTTTTCACATGCATTCAAATATATAACCCAATGAACATTTTTCATCAGGATCATAGATACACAACAAGTGTGTAATTGGACCGATAATTCTCACAATAATCAAGCAATTATTCCAAAACCTACTATCAAGAACAATTTCTTTGACTTATTTACTTTCATTTTTCAACTCTTTCTTGTATGCTGCAGAAGTCACTAAAGCCTCAAAATGCTATTTCGCTAAAGTCACTAAAGCCTCCAATTATGAAGACTCTTCAAAATAAAAAAGTTAACACCAATGCATGCTTCAACAAAATGAAGAATTTCTCTCCAATCAAGCTTTTTTCACAACCAACTAAGAATCCATTTGCGATTGCAAAATACATATTGACTCTAGAAACGAGAATAATAAAATCTTTCATATGAATAATTTTTTCAATATCTTTCATATTCAAATTCAAAAAATGTGCTTCACAAAGAGACTAACTCATTCTAAGATATTTTTCAAAGAGTAATTTTCCAACATCTTTATAATTACTTGCATTATTTGTGATCATATGAAAAACATTACTAGGCCAAACTGTCTCAACAATTTCAGAAATAAGTTACACAAATTTTTGTTGGACTTAAAATCTTAAGCATCAATAGATTTGATAAATGAGATCCCACCAAGTACCAGAAAATTGATCAAGTTTCTTTGCCTTATCTTTCCACCTATCACCTATAAATGTGCAACCTATTTCACCTCATTTACTACACAAAGTGTAAATAATTAGTTGGACTCCTTTTTTGCATATTTCAACAAAGTCACCGTTAAAGCATGATGAAGAGGTTTTGGGTAACTATGACCCATACTTGCTTTCTTTTCAATAGTTTGTTGATAGTAAGGGCAATTACAAACATTTATTGGGATACATGCATCATAAAATCATAAAAGTTGAGTCATATCTATATCATGTTATCTCTCTTTACTTTGATACAAGACTTAATACTTGGTTGAAAAATCAATAGCTTTATTAGTCATATAAATTTCTATGCCATGTTATGCCTTTCTTTTTTCCTTTTGCTCACCAGTTTTAGTTTGAATTCCCTTCCTTTTGGATGAGGAATTTCTTCAGCATCATCACCTTCAAATCGCTCTATATTTTGATCAAATGGATTTTCAATTTCAAAGATTCCTTTTTTCTCCTTTGATTTTGAGCATTTTCTTTCAATGCATTTCCATCTTCAAATGAATACTAGGAGGCACATTTTTGCATAGAACAATATTACTCTTAGCTTTTGTAAGATGGTGCTTTATTTAATTAATACCTCTAGCTACAAAATTACAGTTATACTATTGACAAATTAATATTCTTTTGCCACCAAAATTCTGCCCTTCTATAATTACATTTCCCCATACTATGTATATTTTTACCTACAATTTTCAGAAGTTGACTTTGATCCTGATTCTTGATTTGTTGGTGTAGATCATGAAATTTTGCTTTGGAAACTTGTGGAACTTTAACAATTTTGTTAACTGACGGAATAGCCCTCATATGGTAGTATAATACTGCCAAGTTTGGTGTCATTCCAAGTCCTTCTCGATGCCCAACAGATGTTCCAAAATCTGCTTTTTAAATCTGGAAAACTTTTCCCTTTCTCTTGGCCGAATAGTCAAATCTGATTTGGGGAGTTATATTTCGAAAATTGTGATGTTCATTACTTTTAAATTGCTTAGTGGATGTTTATGGGCTCTTGGTTTCAAGAATGGAGTGATTTAGAACTGATTTCATTGCACAAAATTTTTTCAAGCAAAAGAAAAGTGAGAAGGCAGATTAGCCTTGAAATATTTCTTGAACTTTGGTTGTTTTAATGACTGCCGTTCTGTGGGAATTTTTGCATGAAACTTGGTAGAAATGTTTTTCACACATGGAGGATTTGGTGTACCAATTTTGGTGTATTTATAATGCCATATCGATGGCCAAATGATATTTCCAAGATAGTCTTTAAATCTGAAAAATGACTGAACAGTTTGCAAAATGTGACCAAATTTGGACTGATGTCTCTCGATACTCAAAATTCCGATTCCTATTCCGTCCATTGTGTTTTAAAATTTGATTGTAATTCTAATTGAGTTCCAAATTTTAGAGGCTAGCTCACGTTGTGTGAATTTTGCCGAATTTCCAAACTTTACCAAAAACCAACCCCGAAACTGTCTTGCAAGACTAAAACAGCAACTTTGGGCCAAATTTTGAATGCCATCCACTTGAAATCATGAAAAAATGTATTCTAGGAACTTTCAGTACTTCGGAAGAAGTTTCCAACGGTAGCAATTTTTCCAATTTTGGATTTGTAAGGAGTGAGATACGATTTTCCAAAGATCTCGTATCAAATCTAAATTTTTGAAACTTAAGGAACTGGAGTTTTTCGAATTCTCCTTTTTCCCTCGATATCACTTGAACGTTTTACACTTGATTTCAAAGATGAAAACTCGATTTCTCTTGTGCTTTAAAACCCCCACTTTTGAGCCTTGATTCGCGAGTAATTTAGGCTCATTTTCATGAGATTTTTCTAGGATTGTACAAGCGTACAATCATTCGTGATAATTGGGGTATATAAATGATAGTCCACTATAATTGCCCAGACTCGCATGAGGACCTTCAAGAGGATTCCACAGTGGACGCCTGAATGTCAAGTGACATTGCTTCTTTGTTTATTTGGTGAATGTCAAGTATG